AGCCAACAGATGCATCCAAAGACTTTCTGAATCTAACGTGGAGTCGATAATCTGCTATTAACTGGTCACAGTGGCGTCTTTCTTTCTTTCTTCACTATCGCCTCTTTTGTACATGATATTTTTGTCTACTTCAATTCTACAATAAACTGAATGACATGATCAAAGAGTTACATTTCTTTCAGTATAACCAGCTTTGAGCTTGCCACAACAGGGGCTTTCAATCCATGTGCAGAGTCGAAGTCTACAGCTATTTTAAGTTATCAAATTAACCGTATCAATTATACTTTCTTTGTGAACTCATAAAGTATGTACACCTTTTATACCTACTTAGAGGAAATACTTTCACGAGCCCAACAGGTGTAAGTTCACCTGTCAATGCTGACAAATACTTGTTAATGACAGTCGTGAAAGAGGTAGATGGCAGGGTGAAATATGAACAGATATGCAATTTAAACCATATTGTGCGAAGCATCATCTAAGGGCATCTTACTTGGCAAATTGCAACTCTAACAATATATTGGAAAACTTCACACTTAGTTTACGTTTCCTCTGTTACTTGAGGTAATGTTATGTTCTTCATCTGACAGCAACCTTGTTCTTGCAAGCCAAAAAAGTGTCTTGTAGTACAAAAAGCGTCTCGTTGTTGTCTGAGGTCCACTCTGACTTGCAGGTAGGTTAGACATTATTGAAAATCTTAGGCTATCATTTCCATCGTTGAATTCGCAGACCGATCTTTTGCTAGACTTTACAGATATTGAAAAGCATACAGTTAAAAGGCCATGTTTTTGTCGTGCATGTTATGGAATAGTTATACCTGAACTTCTAATGCTCCTTTGAGTGGAGGACATGTATGCTTTCTGAAAAGAAAAAAATCTTTGACAATTCGACGAAAGTACAGCAAAATGCTGCTCATTTTTTCACGTCTATCGCCGTTCTATTACACGATGACGAATTAAAATGACTCCGAGCGAGACAGAAGAGGCGATTTTTTGTGAATGTTTCAATATTATCACTGAATAAGTAGGTTAACTGTTGTGTGAACCAGAGCGAAGCTACCTGACGGATATCACCTGGTCTAGCAAAAGTGGACTTAACATAGGACTTCAGGATTGCTTTTAAGGATCACAGATATTTCACTAAAATAGAAATGAAAGCTTGTGCGAGCAAAAAAATTACAGGAATCTGAAAGGTACCGACTAAAATTAACGGGAAATCTCGTTTCCGTAGATTTTACATTCAATACTTGAAAAATTCTGTTCCGTGTTTCTGTTTCTCTTCACATATTATTCGAATTCTTCCCACAGACTAATTGACGTACGTGCGCTGTAATTTTTTTCTCTTGAACTAATCAGGGGAAGCGTATACATATTATGGTAAAGTCTCCATAAGAAGTTAGAGTTTCCATCCTGAAACCCCGTAACATACCAGTCCTTTGCATGCCTCTTTAACCTCGATCCCCGTCTCTTCCTCCGAATTACTTGGTTTAGTTCGGTTTAGAATTCCAAACCGGAATAGTCCAGCTAAGAACGGTGACAAAAGGGATCTAACTTATTTCTACTTTGCGCAGTAATCCTGATGTCCCTTGTAAGATCCATCCTGTAAATCAATCAAGTCGAGTCTAACTCCCTTTAACATGGATCAAGATACACAGTGAACATTATGAACAAAATGAACCTTATACTTCATTAACGGATTTTATATTTTGTTTGAAACCATTATCGATTATTTATTTTCCTACCATCTAATATAAAAGATATCTATTTTGCAAACACATAACTTTTATTTTTCGTTCTTGATTTTTAGTTATTTTTATAGTTTTAATCGTTTTTATGATATGTATCACCACAAAAAATCTGATATAACAGCCACAACTATCTACACACTAGTGAAAAAATAAATTTATTATACATTATGTACTAGTTTCTCACTGTTCTGGTGAAATAATTAGCTTATTGAAAATTTGATATTCATAATTTGTTCATTGGTGTATCTATAAAATATCCAATTTATTCCATTTGAAATTAAATTTTATTGAGAATCATATTATATTACTGCCCGTACAGATAAGATTCCTTTGAATTAGGAATTTTTAAGATTTCCTAAAGCACCTTTCTAAATGAAGTAGTAGTCGGCACGAATATCTATCAGTCATACGTGCATGACTGATTAGCATACAAAAATTCTGCTCGAAATATGGCTCGATGATGTCTTTCCGTTGTTTTACTATCCTGCCGACTTTTCTGATTAGACTCAAAAGTGTTATCATCATGTGCATTGGTTTAACGTGTATTAGAGACATGACTGTTCACCAGTCATGAAATATCAATTTCAAAACTCGTATTTCTCCAATTATCATTATTTGAAATCTGATGATGGTTAGAATAAAGTCATCAATATTTTAATCAAATTACTGAGTTTCTTATTCCTCATTTATTTTTATGAAGTAATTATTTCAAGATGTTCACAATATTTATTAAAATTTGTTATACGAAATTACAGAAAATTTCCAAAAAAAATTTTCAAAGTGAATCATTTCGAAAGAGATTTTAAGATGAATTTATGCTCTAAAATTAATTTTTAAAATTATTTAAACATGAGAATTATAGGTAGAAAAATGTGCTCAAAAAAATCCTTGGATACAAAATTTCAATACAGCTGATACAAATATATTGTTTTTTATTTATAATTTTATTCTGTTAAAAAAGAAAATAAATTGCATGAAAAGTGAATATCGTTTACATCTTCAAATTTATTTGAACATCTTATAAATCTCAAGTAACTGAAATTTTTTACATTAAATTTATATTATTCACATAGATCTTTTCTTAATATCGTATAATTTGAATGATCTTCATCTTTGAGAAAAGGGATAAATTATATCATCATTTAAAAAAGAAATTATCCATTTGTTAATATCCTAAAATTATAATCAGGTTTATTTTATTTTATTTGATCATCTATAACTTTAGAGATCTGTCATAAAAGAGCCGATCTCATGTCTAAAATTTTGCAAGCCATCTAATTATTAGTAAAAGTTATCAATGTAACCTGTGATAATGGGGTTTGTCTAGACACGTTGTTAGAATTATGCATCATGCAATTGATAGATTGTTCATAGGATTAATTTGAATTTTGAGAGGAAGCTATAATACAGTAATCGGTAAGACAATTAGTTTTGAAGGATTCAATATTTATGTATTTAAATGACGTTGAATGAATAATCACAATTATATCGCTTTGGACAAAGTATATAAATAAATTGGGTTATTTTGCTTCTCATTGTTAATATTTTTTTGATATAATTATAAATTTGATGGAAGAATTATATATATACTGAAATTAAAGGATTTTTTTGTAGCACAGAAAAATCTAATTTCTACGTTTACTACATATAAATTGTGATCTTACATATTGTGATGAAAGAATGTGTATGTAATCGTTTTCATAGAAGGAATTCAGTCGTTACTTCATTTGTTGGGGTGGAAACACGTATATCTCCTTATCTCCAATGAATGATTATTATTTGCATGTACACTTCTGAACAGGAATTTTCGGATGGAGGAAATAAGTCTCAAGCTTTAATGTATACAATTGTTAGTACACAAGATTTCTTGCGGCTCGAGTGTCTCGAGTTGTAGTGACGCGGTCATAGGGATAGAAAGAACGTGCTGCGTAGCCCGTGCCCCGCTAGCGTTCATCTCCACCAGCCGTGGCCCTCGGAAAACCATGGACTGACTTGGAGCGTTTTCGTCCGTTCTTCTCACTGGCTTTGGGTGATTCGGTCCCACTCCACGGCCATACTAAAAAAAGACGTGAATTTACTATACTCGGATAAGCAAATAGAAAAAATAGGATGGAGAGACGCCATCAAGTCGTACAGAGGGATGAAACGAAAAAGGGAAGCTGAGGTAAGCCCCAGGGTTACCACACTCGACGGCCGTGAACTTGGACTCGAAGGTCGACATCGGCGGAGAAAAGCGAGAACGTCATGGCGGAAAAGGCCCACAGAAAGTCACTGTCTTGTTATGCATTTCCACTGATTTCACTTCTCTCCTTCTGGACCAATCCGCGGCTTCAGAGCTTTCCTTCTCCAGAAACATCTGTGTCCTTACCGCGGAGAAAGAACGAACCGGCAGATTTCAGAGGATCCTCGCGGAGAAGAGCAGCGACCGGGGGATCTGCGCCCGCGGCCGGGCCCAGCTGATGATAAGAACATTGGGCCTGCGTTCCCATAGGAAGATGTGGAGCGGCGGGGGCCGTGGATTGGGCAGCCGTGGATCTTCAAGGATCGATCGCCACCGTAGGTTTGCCGGGGATCTTTTTATGCTCGTGTCCCACCAGCGGGTTGGTTGGAGATGTAAGCGGGAGGATTGGCGGAAAGGCGCACCAATCAGGCGGTGAACTTTTGGACATGTCTGATCGAGGCGGGCCCCACCGCGCGATGAGATCGGTCAGAGTAACTCGAGTACCGGGGTGGACTACGCTGATATTTTGGGCGGCCAAGAGGGGCGTGCCAACTCGACAAGCCAGAAGGTGATTTGTCAAAAGTGCGGAACGGAAGGCCAGAGCGACGGGCAGAGGGGCAGAGCGAGGACGAGAGAAAAACCCGGGGCCATCGAGTCGTACACGGAGGAGATCGGACGGGCACCAGGGGGGCTGCCCCCAATGGCATCGCGGAGGAAAAATGTAAGGGAGATATATCGAGATATCGCAGAGGTTCACATACTTAAGGAGATCTGGAGGCTGAGTCAGCGTGCCAGAGGATATAATGCGGAGCGCTCATACGTCGCGAGTGGGTTCGGGGAAATAGATAAACTAGGGTGAGCTGTACGAAGTGGCACGGTGGAACACACTAGTCCAACAGCGAAAGGTGGAGGCACTGTAACGGGGGGAGGCTGGCCTGTCGGCGCGGGACACGTGGCAGGGATTATAGGCGAAAGCTAGATCGAGCTAGATCCGGCAGGCGATCCCGTCTCGCCACTCGTCCGATTCGAACAGTCGGCTTTCCTCCTTTCCCCACTGGTCGCTGGCCGCTGGCGCTGCAGTCGACAGTTTGCGCCGTGCGCGAAAGCCGAAAGCGGAGGGCGAACTTCCGAAGCCGGAAGGAGTGGAATCTGAGGCCCGGGGGCGGCGAGGCGACGAAAGGCAAGGCCAGAGGCCAGAGGCCGACGCAATGCCCAGCAGCAGATCACGAGGTCGAGCCGACGAGCAATCGAGCGTCGAAGACGAACGCCCTCGCTCTCGCTCTCGCTCTCGCTCGAGGTAGGGCCTAGGAACGGCGCCAGGCAACCGTGCGGTGCGTGTTTTTTGCGGTGGCTCTCTCTCGCTCTCTCTTCGGCTTTCTCACACACACACACACACACACACACTCTCTCTCTCTCTCTCTCTCTCTCTCTCTCTCTTTCGAAGCTCTCGCGAAGGAGGCCGACCGCCACGAGCGTAAGGACGACATTCTTTGGAGAACGCGACAGTAGAGGTTTGTGTGCCGAGAGGATCGAGCAGGGTAGGCAAGGCGAGGGAAGGCAAAGGTGAGGTGAGGCAGGACCGCGGGGATGGCATCCAGGAACAAGAGCAGGCGCATGGCGGAGACCGTGGACGCAGCGGAGTGGCGGGGAGGCACGACGATGGAGCTAGCTAGCTAAGGCATGGCGGACACAGGATTGACCGAAGCGCAGAGGACGAAGAGTTAAGGGCATAGACGCAGGGGGACCCGGCGGCGGCTGATCTCACATCGCGCGGCCCGCGAGTGTGGTCCGGGGGATCTGTTGTCGTGAGAGTGAGGCGCTAGTTCGGACGGGTGGTCGTCTGGTGAGTGGTGGTGTGTCGGGTTGGAAAGATGATGGGCACGAAGGATGGGAAGGGGGATGGCGCTAACCATCGCGGCCTGACTGGGAGTGGTGCTGGCGCTAATGGCGTCGAGACTGGAGCTCTGTTTCCGCGATTGCACGTGAAGGAGACGAAGAGAGTTGGGCCGCGAGCTCCACCTCGGAATAAGATGGCGCTCTACGAACAGTTCACTTTTCCCTCGTATCGTTTTGTACCACCTGCTGTTATGCTGCCAACTTCTGGGCTTTCAGCAGGATCTTCTCCCTATTCACCTCATGTGCATTCAAACGGGGAGAAGATGGCTCTATACGAACAGTTCACGTTTCCGCAGCACCGTCTTGTGCAGCCTTCAACATCTTTCCCATCATCGGGACTTCCTTCAAGATCTTGTTCGTCCAGTCTGCAGCAGGTATGGTCTCTCTGGAAGAGTAGTTGATCTTGCGGCGGACGTTATTTTAGGAAACTTGTCCCCCGTCTTGCAAGACGTCGCATGCGAGTGGGTCTTCCAAATTGAAGTCTTGGATAGACTGCTCTTCTTTCACTGCGATGATTACAGACTTCTCCGCTTGCACCCAGCAAAGGGATTCCCGGAACAATAGCTAGACCCCCTTTGCTTCCCCTGGTTGTTCAATGTCGGTGGAAGGTATTCGGTTGGGCTTGTATCACCTCGCCAGTATCTTACCGTAGCCTCGGGTTGGGTACAGACGGCATGTGTGGTATGCTTATATCATGTCTGTTGCTGTCTATTGTAGTAGTGGCGCAGCTATTTAGCGTTAGTTTTTTAAAATGCCCATGGTGAGGAGCAGCGCTTTTTCACATTTCGGCACCGTCCAAGGAAGCACGCTTTCCTTGTCTAAGGAGAATATACTTTCTGTTTTCTACCTTTTGAAAGCCGTAGCTAACTTCTTAGTCACGATGAATTGCACCGCACATGACTGAGTATGCTGGTTCATTGTTTTGCCGTTTATCTCCTGACTGTCGGGGTTTTGTATGTTCCAGAGCTCTTCCAACGATGGGTCTAGGTACTACTGCCCTCCTCCATACGGAAGCCTGGGTATGCCTTACATGGCAATGAATGTTCCTCATCAGGCGGGACAGCCTGTGGTGAATGGCAGTGCAACCAGTACTGTCGTGGATAGCGAGAGCGAGATCCAGCGAACGCCTAGCACTACTGCTACAGCTAGTGGAGGTGTCTCTTCTCACGGTGTCGGCTTTGGAAGTTTCCGTCCATCGAGTCACGCGAACTTGAGGACTAGTTCCAGCAAGAAAGGAGGCCGGATAAACGATGACTGCACCGTGCCTATTTACACTGCACCCAAATCTAGTACTGGTTTTCCAAAGGTGTACTCGGAAGGCTCGGACTGGTCTAGTGGAGGACCCTGGCAGCCAGGTATCGACTTGACGAAGGCCTGCCAACCAATGCCTGTTTCATATGATTACCAAGTCAACTCTTCGGGCCCCTCTAATTCAAGAGGGGATTGCAGGGAAGAGTCAGTTACTGGTGTGACAGGAGAGCACAGAGAAACAAAGATAGTGTATAGCGAGCGAGGAGTGGGAGAAGTGACTGAGCTGCCGGACGGCACATCTCGAGAAGCTTACAAAGAGAAGCAGGTTTCGTCGTTGCGCAACCGGCACTCACATTTTAGTGCCTTTCGAGTGCGCGGAGCAGATACTTGTGATCAGCCACACCGGCGAAAGAACAGTCAGTACTTTGATGACACCTCAGAAGCTGATGGATTGAGGAGTTGCGGAACTGGTAATGGCGAATGTCTGACTGTTCTAGAAGATGATGAAGACTCTGCCTCAAAGCATCGAAAAAGTTCTACCAAAACAAGAGCTACGAAAGACTCAGAGGTGTCAGACTCTCGTCGCGATCAACCTCAGCCTGCGAGTCAAGGGTTGGGAAAGAAAGAGAAGAAATTGGAGACCGAAAAGGCTAGGAAACCTTCTATGTCTACTGAATGCAGGTCTAACACCCCTGGGAGCAGCGATGACAATGTGGAGAACCCCAGTGACTGCGAAGTCTCAGAGCATACACAGCCTGCGTTGTGGAGCGACAGCGAGGAGTCCGACGCAACTATGTTGGAGGCAGACCCTTCGCACAAGATTACTCCCAAGGATTTGATCAACGCTGTCGGCCAGCAAGAATTTTGGACGGCACGAAAAATTCTACAAAGGTATGCATAATTTTCCAAATTTTTCCGACATATGGTCCATTGTCTAGTTCACACGTGCAATTGGATTTTGATTGTTGTAAAAACTATCAAAAGGTTTCAACGTGTGTTCTTGGGTATATATGGAAACGGGGTATTCTATCTCTATCTCCTCTAGAGTATCTCCTCGAAGCTTCTGATTTTATACTAATCCCAGGACTATACTGTGGATTTCAATCTATCTTCCCAGTTTGTTCTGGGAAGTGTTCAAAGAAACACCTCTTGACTTATCGTTCTCAAGACCAGACGAATGGACCTCATTTAGGTCACATGTTTTGCATTAACTTTTTGAATTGAAAGTTCATGACTAGCCATGATACCATCTTACTTCAGCCCGCACTCCTTATTGCTGCCGAAATTGTCAACTATCCAGCCCGTGTTCGATTTGTGGAACTTGAATTTGGGACCATCAAGGACAGTCTCCTTTTCCTTCTGCAGTTATCTGATGCACTCCTATTGTGGAGTTGTACTTCAGTTCGAACACGTGGTTTTCGGCAACCCTTAGTCTGACTTTTTGCGTTTATGTTGTACTATCTGGCAACTGCTCCGTACACACAGTGTTCACATGTTGGGAGGTCTCATGTCGTAAGGCGGTTAAGCTACTGCCAGGTCTTGTACCTACATGGTGGAGTAAGTTCTGAGATGTCACAATATTGAGGGTATGTATGCCAAAGGTTGTTTACGAGGTAAGGTTGCCTATCTCACGTCGATGTGAGCTTCAAGCGAACTGCAACTGTATTTTGTGGGCCACTCTCTTACCACTGGTCTGTAGCTTTCTGTATGTTTTCTTGCTGAGAGCTCGAATGGATGTCCACAACACCCTGGCAATGTCCTCTTCATTCATCTTGAAGGAGGTGTACTAGTTGGCTCGACAACTTTCTCTGAAGATTAGTCTTGTTCGGGTTCTTTGCCCCTAGTTTACACGATAATCAAGTATATTCATATCTTACCGCTTCACTCCTAAATTACAGTGCATATCATGTGTGGAGTTCCCAAAACAGGGTGTTGGTCCATCTGTGGTCTGGAACCACCTTGGCGTTGCGAGTATTTCTTGGTGTCTCGGTAACTCTTGTATCCCAGGCGCACGAAGTATGGCCTTGGTATGTGCGAGTGGTGGTAAGTAAGGCCAAGGTGGTTTGGAGGTAAGGGCACAAATCAGATGGCGCTCAGGTGCTGGTTTGAAGTTGTGATCGTTTTCTGATGTATAAGTTTTTACAGCATGCCTCAGCGGGAGTACTCTTCTTTCCTACACTTTGCTAGACTTTGGCTGACATCAAGGAAATGGCTAGGATTGAGGAAATTTGTTCTCAACACCAAGGATGTATCTGCTTGGCTGACCGGGGGATATCTTCAGCAGGAGGTTTGAGGGTGATGGTTGCTCTTATATCTGTGAAAAAATGGGGACTCGGTCTCTCTATGAGAACTGATCCACATAAAATCTTGAATCGAGCGCTCTGGCATTTCCTGAGTTTTAGTTTTGTCCTAACAGCATGGTTGAAGCAGGTTTCTCTACAACTTCAGACTTGATCCTGCTGTTGTGTCCTGACTGACGAAACCTGATGTTCCATATTGGAAAGAAAGGAGAAAACAAAGCTATCTTTACTTCGATTAGTTCATGCCAATTGAACTAGTTGAACGGGTGTTAGTTTGAGTTCTAGATCATTAGGTCCTGGCATATCTCGTGGTTGTTGGCGATCGTTCGAATAATCTCATGGTCGACTTCTATGGCACGCTTGCCCCCGCGACGAATAAGCTTTAATCACGCACTCGTGCTCATCTGATAAATGCCGTATTATCTTGCAGACAGCAGATGATATTCGCATCACAAGTTTTTGAGCTGCATTGCCTCATTAAGGTTTTTGACTTGCCCACACCTCATGGATATGGTCCTACTTGTGTATTATACTTCTTTCTTTCGGAAAGGTTTTGGGGAAGTTTGTGGAGAACTGAGTGTTTTGTTCTCACCTTTGTTGAGCAGGTCCAGCAGCTTCTAGTCGGAGAAGACGAAGAAGACTGGGAGGAAGATGATCAACAAGCTACCCCGTCCCCTCCTGAAGTTGTTCCGGAAAAGCTGCAAGGAAAGAAGACGGGCGCAGAGAAACCGTCTGCCAGGCCCGGTGTCGAGGATCTCGAGAGCAAAGGGCCGCTTCAGCAGCCGGACAGTACTTGTCAGTCATCAACATCAAAACGAGCTTTTTACCAGACGTGTACTCCAGATCCGCAGCCTGGCGTAGAAAGCGGCCCAGCGATTCCTGTTGTTCCCAGCGCAGGCACTTCTGGGACATCGGGTGCATGGGGTTACCCACCGTATGCAAAGTCTGGTGCGAATGGTTGGTTTGGAGCTTTGCCCGCGGTTAATGGAGCCTACATGTATCAGCCTTATCCTGGCCCATATCCTCAGCCTCAAGCCCATAGCATGGGTGCTTTCAATGGGTCATATCGACCCGTTATCTGTGCTCCTACGCCCATGGATGTTTCTGGCATGAGTACCTACGGTATGCCCGGGTATGAACAGCGACCTGATTTAATGCAAGATATGTATAGATACAACACTCTGCATCAACAGTGGCAGGCAGCCATGTACTGCAACTCTGTGGCACAGGATCCTAACGCGTCGTGGTACTCTACACCACCATTGCCTTACATGGATCCCTCCAGAATGCCAATGAGATGGTACGATGAGATGGCCAGTTCACACTCTTCTGCTCACCCCGGGTTTCACAGGCAGCCACACCAGAGCAGCGGTCCTTCGCTGCCCACGGATCAGCCCATGGTTTACCCCATGCATCCTCAATGGCCCGAGGCTGTCTCTGGTCAGGTGCAGGGGCGCGAAGGCGATCGATTTCGAGCTCAGGCATCATGGCCTCTTCAGGGCAGGTCGGCTGAACAAGGGTTCCAAAGACCTGTTACTTATCCAGCTCAAGAAGTGGGAGCACCTGGATCGCAAGTCGCGGAGGGTCGATGGGGCAACGGTTGGGAGGCCTCAGAAGGGAAGAGTCCTCAGGACAGTAATGGGCGCGCAGTAGAGGTTCCCGCTGCGTCTCAATATAGTACGGGTGAGGTACCCGATAGCAGGGTGCACAAGAGAGGTCGGGAAACTGTCCCAGAAGCCAGGAGTCCCGCTGACCGAGATAGGCAGAGAAATTCTGTAGAGGAAACCAACTCTGGTGATCAGAGGAGGGACGCATTGCCTCTTTTTCCGTTGGCCACCAGTGCAAACGCCGGCGAGAAGCAAAAATCGTCGAGCCATTCCTTTCCGGGAGTTATCAAGGTTGTCCCCAGAGCCATGGTGGCAACAGCAGAGTCCGCAGCCGAAATCTTGCTCTCTATTCAGAAGCAGCGTCAGCAGTAAACACTACGACTGAAGTTTTTGCACACACGTCTCAGGTGGGTGTGTCATCACTGCCAATATGTCCAGCAAGTCCTTGGGCACACCATCTTCACCAATGCAGAAAGATAGGATCCTGGCACGGTGCACGAGTTCTGCCCCAATCGACATGTCAACGCATGAAATCTTTCACCAGGAATCTTAGCAGTAGCAGTAACGATGTAAGGATAGTTAGAAAGATCATCATGTCTGCTGCATTATACATGCGAGCGTTGCTGAACCGCATCACTGGAACCAGCCAATTTCAGGGTTTTTACTTCAGTGCAGTGGGATTTGAACGAATTTCCTTGGTGAATCCCGTACTTGCATTGTACCCTGGTCGACTAACTGCGGGGAAAATTGACGAAGAGAGTCGATGCCGGAGAGCTTCATGGTATGGATATCCGGGACATCAAACTGGGGCCGCGTGGGACTGGAGCTACCGAAGAACAAGGAAGGTACCGCATCACCACTGGCTGCAGTGTGGAGTTACCTAAAGTCTGACGGCAGTGATGTGCAATATGTGAGTGTTTCCAATCAGTGGCAGGCGGAGTAGGGTCTGCAGGAAGAAAGCTCTTTGATCACTTGTTAGAAAGAGATGCGCATGTTACAAGCGTGCGCATCCCTGTTCACTATGAAGTCTGGATGGATACTTCGTACTCTTCAGATTGCTCGTCGTCAGGGGAAGAAACTTTTACCCTAAAAACATGTACCGTGCTCTCTTATCAGAGAGAAAGTAAATTGGAAAGATTTGCGAGGTGGGAGTCTGTTACATGGGGATTATATGCGTGGTCAAGACAAGCATACCCGGAGAAATGCAAAGATGCAGTTGTCCTCGGTATTTTGGAGGTAGTTTGAATTACCCATTCTCATCTTGCAAAGAATTTCAGCTAGGGGAGATACTGGAGACATACTCAAAAGACTAGTTTATTATTTATCTAGTTTGATAGAGCAAATCAATTTTTGGATCCAGTCTCACATGTCTGGCGCTCAGGTTTCAATGCGTATGGATAGTGGGACCTTTTGGGCGCCAACCCAGGATATACTCACACTGTTCCTGATAATAGGAGGGGCAAATTCAGAATATGTCTATCCCACATTGACGAGCATTATTAGAGCGTCGCTCCAACCCAGATTGGTCATCAATGGATGATAATCTTGTGTTTTCTTGTGGGGAAAGAGAACCGCAGGTCCTACTGTAAATTATTGCTGTTAGTTTTTAGAGAGGCGACTTGTACAGTGCCACGATAAAACGTCGCTTCTTTTTCATCGGACGCAACTGTTGAAACGGAACATAATATGCACAGTTCAATCCACCCTGGATCGCTCCGTTCCATAGATGGCCGTTCTGAATGTCTTGATTGGAGCTGAGAATGATTGAATTAACTCTGTTGTGCAACAGGCGTTTGGTGGATGAATTCTAATTCCAGTCTAGTCTGTTCTTGATATTAGCCTGTACCCGTATGTCCACTCCGACTTCGTTTATCGTATTATCTATGAAGGCACTGTCGCTTGTTTCGAAAAGGCGTGTCAGAGTGGTTTCTTACACTTTGTCGTCACACTAGACAAGCAGGACGTAAAGACAGGTATATCCAGGTGTTCTAAGGAAAAGTATGTGCTCTAATGTAGAGTGATGTCGAGCCCGAATCTGATTGCGGCAGTGCATTCTGGATCAGCATGTACTGGATGGTGGATAGGGATTCTGTGAGAATACGCGAGCGTGTGACAGTGAGGATAATCTAGGAAGAAGCAACGGAAATTTATGATCATGTGCCGAACGTCAATTGTGGCAGGCTTATTGGATTCTAAAGTATCTACAGTAAATGAAAAGTCTACCATGCCACAAGTGGAGAAATTTACTGGATGGGACCCAAAACACTTTCTGGGACTTGACTATTTTATCCCCAGGCGGGCCTCCAGCCCACCGTCACCCATGTTGTTGTACCTGACTTGTTTACGGTGCAGAATCCACGTCTGTCAAGTCAACTAATGCCGACAGCTGTTTCTTACAGAGACGAGAAGCATCTCCAGAAAAGCATGCGCGCCTATTATGTAGTGTGAGGAATAGAGTATGCTTTTAGAAGTGTCTTCCCGTTATCCTTCGTTTGTCGGTCGGACTTTGGTCCACAATATCAATTAGGGATGCCGTAAATCTCTACAGTTCCCGATTCTGGCAGATTGGCAATGAGCTATTTTGAGAAGTTTGTTGCCCTCCTGACAACATCGCTATCGAACCTATTGCTGCTGTGGTGACGCTTTCCTTAGTGCCATATTACTGGGCGTCCCATTTTTTTTACTGTTTTTAATCTATTTGATACGAAGCTATGATAACAAAAAACAGAATACCGTGTCCTTTTTCTAGATCCGCGTTTTAATTATTTCCTCTCGGATGCTTGTGCCAAGAAGTAACAGTATATTGTTATCGAAAGAAAAATTTACTCTCGAAACAGGAAGTCAAGATCAGGAAAATTCCTGTCGTCATCAGAATCAAACGACGCAGAATAAGTCCCATAAAAACTCTTAGACTCCGATATGTTGTACTCTATAACTCGTCTTCTACAGTCTAGGACAGGAAAAGATAAACACAGATTCTAAACAGAAAACGCACGACCCTTTGACATGTGGGACAACGCATCCTAGGCTCACGGACATGAGTGCTGCATGACGATTCTGTTAGCAAGATAGATCTAACTTTCGTTCATACACGAAAGAACTCGTACATGTCATTGACAGCTTTCAGAGGGCAATGCAGTCTGAAGGCTAGGACCCTGTCACAATCATTCATAGGGCCACCTAAATTTCTCTTGCCCATTATCTCCCGCACTCGGCCTTTCCGCCAGCGTCCCGCGCATTTATGGTTTTGCCAGGAAGAGGCACAGAAATAATCATAAATTTCAAAAAGGTTTGTTATAATCCAATTTCTCAACACCGCCTTGAGATCTAATAAAAATCCTGGACTATAGCCATTGGTTGGTTTGCCTCGTGCGGAGATGGGAGACAACACAGAGAGAGAATATGAATCGAATATAATGAACACCACCAATGCTTGATTCGAAGCATTTCTCAAAAGTGAGATCCGGACGCGAGAGTGGACTTTAGAACATGTAATACTCATTTACCAAGAAGGGGAGTGACAGCAGGCATCTTTGACCTCCAGCTCACGGACGCACCGACAATACAGCCATGATGAGTTTGGCACCACTCTGACCAAAATGGTGCCAAACTCTCAAGTCTGCAAACTATGGCTAAAGATTGAATCCACGTTGTATTTAGTTGGACACAAATGTGCCTCTCTGCATCAAAATGTTGAAAATTAGTTCACTTTAGTAGTGGGAAGGTGTTTGATGGAGTCAACCTGCATACCAACTTTAATCTTTCTTTCAAAATTTCTCCTGATTGTACAATCAACCATGTTAATTTTATTTAGTGAGAGACAGAAGTAGCATCCCTGGAATATATCATGACAATTTGACTTGATTCACGAGAATTGTATATTATCATGGCAATTTGACTTGATTCACGAGAATTGTATATTATCAATTATGATTAAGATGATGAGGGCTTTTTTGTCAAAGAATTCTTAACAAAAGATGATGTTTTATTCTCAATGCAATCATATTTAGCGAGTTAAAATTAAAATACAAGTTACTCAAGATAGAGATAGAATTGAATTATAGTGAATTGTCTAAAGTCTAATTGTCTATAAGTGTGTTAATTAACAACAAGAAATCAAAAATTTGTGTGTTTGTTAGAAAGAAAGATTTGAAAAATTTATTGTGTGAACTTTCTTTTACTAAAAGAAGGTTGAGTTACACAATTAGTTTGGAGTGTCGATGAGTAATTGGAATTGAGTGATAAGTGAAGAGATTGTGTGAAAGTATATTTGAAACATGAACATGTAGAGTATTCTTCATTACTAAAATCATGATAAGCTATCAAAACTTGAGTGAGAGTCAGCTTGGAGTTCACAAATCCGTTGTGATAATAGTGCTTCGAGCACAATTGTGTTAAGTAATAATTTCTTTATTCTCCGCTTTGCTTACCGCAAGAGCTTTTTGCTCTCCTCACTAATCTACTTGGATTTTTTTGATTCATGTAATTTCTTCTTAATCTTTTTTTTACTTGCCATGCTTAGCAACTGTGACATCAACATGATTTCTAACATCAACCTTCTTTTTTTTCCTAGGAGTAAGTAAAATCTCCCCCGTTTTGCTTGTAGCAAGAGCTTTGCAATTATCTTCAAGATTCTTCTTGTATTAATTTATAATTATTTTATAGCAAGAGCTTTGAGCTTTTTTTCAAGAATTTTATTGTATTTCTCTAGAGTCATTATGTTGTTTCTTTTCTCTTCTTCTATTTTTTTTGCCATTCTTAGTGACTGTAACATCAACATGGTTTTTGACATCATGTTTTTTCTTCCCAAGAAGTGATTACTTTTTTCTTCGCTTTGCTTGCGGCAAGAACTTTGGAGTTATACTCAAAAAATTTCTTGTATGCATGAGAATCATTTTCTCTTTTTCCTCATCTTCTCCATTTTATCATTATCCTTAGTGAGAATGATATCAACATGGTTTTTGCCGTCAACTTCTTTTCTTTAAAAGGTGTAACTATTTTCTTCTGTGCTTTGCTTGCGACAAGAGCTTTGCTCTTCTAAAAAATCTTCTTGTATTCATTTAGAGTCATTTTGTTGTCTTACTCTCTTGCTTTTTTGCCAACCTTAGTGATTGCGACATCAATATGATTTTTATCGTAACTTTTTTTTATCTTGAAAAAACTTATTATCCTCCGTTTTGCTTGCGACAAGAGCTTTACAAGAATCAACCTGTAATTTTTGTAAGTCATTTTGTTGTCATTTTGCTCTTTTTTTGTTTTCTTGGCATCCTCAATGATTTTAACATCAACATGGTTTTAGCTGTAAGTCTTCTTATCTTTTCCGGGGATAAATACTTTTGAAGTAAAATTTGAAGTAAAAGATTTGAGCTTCTCCTTAAAAATCTTCTTGTATTCGTCCAAAGTCATTTTTTGGGGGGTTTTTTTTTTTTTCATTCATGAACATGAACATGAATTTTGCGGTTAGACTTTTTTTTTTCCTTAGGAGTAACTATTTTTTTTTTCCGATTTGCTTGTGGCAAGAGCTTTGCGTTTCTACTCCAAAAAGCTTAGATGAGACTATAACACAAGACCATTATGGTGAGATGTATAATTTCCTGCACATAAGATACCAAAACTGTAAAGTTGAAATGATTTAAAAAAATTATAAAACAAGAACGTTATAATGAGAATACAATTTCTTTCACGTAAGATATGAAAGAAAACCTAGCAATTTTCTTTTTAAAAATGAGCTCCAAAATAAATAATTTATTCTATCATACTAGGATTAAAGAACATGTCAAACTCCATATAATCCAAAGGATATATTTATCTAATATTAATCTCTTTGAAATCAATATACTTGGAGATTCGGTTTAGTCCAATCTCACTATATCTCCATCAAAGAAGACTAACTATTATCAATTCTAACAACAGAGGTATTGGATGCATACTAATAACTTCATATTCTCAAATCAAGTATATGTTAATCCTAACCTTAGTTTACAGTAAAATGTGCTAGGGCTACTTTCAAATGATGTATCCAGACTTTATTAAATCTAGCATTGTTGTGTCTTACAGTTATGTACATATGATGTATGTTGTCTCTATATATCATCAACTTGCAGCATTATAGGGTATCTCTGTACTATTTCCAATTTTGCTTGGTAACTAACTCTTATTCTAAAATTAAAATGTATATTAAAATAATATGAATATGACATTTTACTTCGAACGATACGCATCCTTCGCAGTTGTACTCACTACCAAAGAGACCAAACAACTTCATGAAGACGATACTCATGAAGTTTCTCCAACACAATCGCACAAGGAAAAGATGTTGTGTAAGAGTGCATAGGTTTAACAGTCCGAACTCAGTCCAAACGAGCGAGTTCTTGATTGAGATACAAGGAATGTTTCGATTCATGCTTTGTGACATCACATAGTGATCATAACGTCATATACTGTGCAATTTTGGCGTCAAATATGTTTTGGCGGCTTGTGGGTAGTCTCAATAGATCCACTTCATGATCTAAAGCTAGACATGAGACACAACCTACGCGTTACTGCTATGAAGTTGGATAGCTAAATGCGTTGTGATAATTTAATCTGGGACAAGTTGTTGCCATGTTAGTTCAGGATTCTAGAAGCGACGTAAAACCATTTCAAATACAAAGGCCTAAAACCGTTGTTCATATTTGTAGCATAACTCGTCTGAACATCATACGCCGAGTCTGACGGACGCTCAACGTCATATGCCGAGTTCGAAATATATGAACATATTGCATGAACGAACCCACAGCAACATGCGCAACGTTAAATTGGTAATTTGAGGCGGCAAGGAGCGGCGGAGATCAAACAGAGCACCGTATTTCTAGCAGGTGACATAAGACCATATAAAAGGATGACGAGTCCAGTACGAAGGCCATTGTCAGAGGAAATCAAATAGAGCTCTTATTTGGAACGAGTGAGACTCAGTCGAGTGTATGTGCCTGAGGATGCCCTCGTGCTTTGGAAGAGTAGACTGTTTCATGCAGACGCAGTCCATTGTCGAGAAGTTTTTTTGACAGAGAGGTGAAAGTAGGAACTCTTTCTCTTCAGATGCAAGTGATTTGCAACAAAGTTCAAGTGTCCGAAATAATTGGGAGTTTCTTCGTTGATCGTGAAATCTGGAAGTTCTGCGGCTGTTGACTAGCAAAGATGAAATCAAGTGGAGTGCTTCATCAGAACAGTCAAAGACGGAGTTGAGTGTACGTGTTCGTGCAGTGTTTGTTGCATCGTCCGACGGGAAGAATCGTGCATCTGATTTACAAGCTTTGAACATTAGGGAATAACTTGGGATTCATTTCGTCTTCAGATTAATTGATGCTGGCGATTAGCACCAGAAGTTCCAACATAAGAAACAGTTTTCACAAGGATATATCTATATTCTTCGCACAGCACCAAAAGCGATCATGGACAGAGCTGCACGTGCACGCGTCTCGGACTCGTCTGATAATTCAAGAAAGGACTCTGATGTGAAACGAAGATCAGAAGAATGTGAAGGACTCGCAGCTATCGAGTTTCATTGTGCTCATATTATGCGGGAAAGACAGAAGGAGGTTCCAGATGTGCCAGACGAATCCGAAGTACTCGTTGCAATGGGCATCTCCTGTGCTCAAGTTGTCACCAGAGGAGATATCGAAGGCTTCCGAACAAACTATGAATCTGAGTCTATAGAGACAATGAGTGTTGGTTGTACTCAAGCTTTTACCCGAGGAGAGGCGGATCATAAAACTACATATAGAGACAAGGTCCAGAGCCTCCAGAATAATCAGGTGGATGGCAGAGATAAACCTCGGCAAGGAATATCACTTGAACCTCCTCATCTTGCAAACGTGGATGTTAATGATTATCTGATGACGGAGGACGCATGGCAAACTATACCAGATTTTATTTTATATGACGAAGCTGCAGAACGAATCGAAAACGCAGAAGTAGCAGATCCAGATCCAGATGCAGGCAAGGCCTAATTGCATCGTTTATCTTCTTGTATATTTCGTTTCGCTACTGAAGGAATGTAACAATTTACATCATGTCATGGAGGTTAGGAGCACATTACGGTATATGCATCTTTGCAAGTAAATGTAGAGATTATTCACGTACCAAATAAATGCAGATATGCCAGACCATGTCAAAGCTCGGAAACGTGGAGGACGTAGGCACAAAGGACACTTCATGAAGCGACCTATGGCAATGTCTGAAGTAATTGAAGAACTGCAGCATCCAGAACTAAGAGAAAATGCTTTACGTTGTTTGAGTGGCCATCTTAATGAGGTATTCTTATACATTTACTGTTACCAGGTTTTTGTCTAGATTGGATTTCAAATTCATTTTATAGACTAGATAAAACATCGTAACACTAGACTTATAACGCATGAATTCTATGGTTTGATCTTCGTCAATAACTCTTCTTCCTCTATAATGCTGAAGATAGTTTAGGTATTTCATTGATGCTTTGAGCTTTGCAATAATCTGGATATCTTTTATTCATTGATGTGACAGAGACGTGAGCAGGATGTTGAGTTCTATCGTCAAGCTGGATTCTATCTCTATCACTCATGCGGTACCGTGTCAGTTTTGTTGCAAGTAAGCAGAGCATCCCAAAAATGATGTTATATGTTTTTCAAGTCTCTTTCAGGCGTCTTCTCACTTCGCTACCACGACGGCTAGTCCACCAGCTAACCAATTGATCATTCTAAAGAAAAAAGACCCATTATCTATCATATGGATATCTGTCTTGGGAAATTGGAATCTTTCCATCCAATGTATACATCTTCAACTATCCACTTCAACCATATCCACACTCCGAATCTCTGCTTCGTACGGTGTACGTATGACAGTCTATTGGACTGACATTCGTACGAAGCAACTTTCTACGTTGTAATTTCTATCAACTACTTTGTACATGGTTCTAATTTTCCCAACCTGCAGGAAGTGGTCACTGTGTATGACAGATTATTTGCGAGAGATCTAAAAGTGAGAGGTTCTAAAAGGTTGTCAAATGTTCTTACTCTGCTTCAGGTAGGACGCCAACCTCGGTTTCAAGTTACAAGATGCAAAAGTTATATATGACATTTGTCGTTTGGATGGATTTTGATTCATCCATCGATGCTATTTAAGGGCTTTATATAGCTTTCGGAGTAGTAGTAGATATAAAATCACATTCAACTTACTTTGTAGCGTTGGAAAAAATCAGAGCATTGCAGCGAATGAAGAAACACGAGTGAATTTCGCACGAGGTAAATTGCAATCTTATCTTAAGCTCCTGATTTGCTTGTCATCGCTTTTCCATCTCGTTTTAAATCATTGAGAGCCAGCTTTGTCATCTACGCTTCATGACTTTGTTGAGTTGCACTTGAATTGATGCTTTTACCACAGCTGGTCTTCCGAATTATTTGCTGCCATTCATTGTCTCCCCATGTACGGAAGAAGTCTATGAGAACGTACGAGCAATGTCGTTGTCTGTGATCGGTGTTCTCTGTCAGGTATTCACTCAAATACTACGAGGAAAAAATAATATATTCTATCAATTGTGTGTTATCTATTGACATGCAATAAGACGATGGAAGGTTTGTAACTCATGTGATGAATGTATGTTACATTGATCACATGAGTTGCAAACCTGATCCAGGCTGTTCCTTTATAAATTCTTAATTTAGTGACCAAACCTAATAATACTGGATGTCTCGTGTTTTGTGACACATCGATTTTCTCACGGTAATTGAAAGTCACGCGACATAAGGATAATTAAGTGGGCGCTCGACAGCGGTATGATCCAAGTATGCCTTTATTCTTTGGAGGTCGGAGGGGAGCTTTCCAAAGTGGTAATCATAATTCTCATGCTTCTGCTTATTACATGGAACAACTTTTTGTTAAAAGACAAAAGAATACTATGTTCTACTTCTGTCTTGTGTAAGATAAGATGATAGTCACATCCCATAAAATTACCTTGGCGACGGCCTATCACGGGGTTTTCCATTACAATGTGATCTCTTTGTTTAATTTTTCGTCGACACGTATGAAATACTTTAAGTCCGTTCTCCTTTCAATGTAGAAAGCACATGTGATTCTTATATATAACAGTAGACAGTTTTGACCAGATTACCAGAAATCAGTCTCGACCTCATACGTGAAACTAAGACGCTTATTATTTGATTGGACAGCTTGCAATGACAATCCTGGAGTCTATTCTCAGAAAGAATGAAGGCTTATATGCCCTTTGCGAAGCAAATAGCGATCTTCTGCCCAAGCTCGCAAAAATTTGTGGAGATTTAGTAAGTCTGCAATTGCTTTATGGAAGATTGATTACTCAATTACTCCTTGTATCTTTAATTCCGAATCAGTTCAGTACTAAGGTGTTATGCATTTGCTTGAACTGTTTAGATTTCCATCCTTGCCACAGTACAAGGTTTTTCTCCTCGGCTTGTAGTTCTTATTGTCCGATGCCTCATAGTACTTTGCCAAAACAGGAGGTAATATATGTTTCTCTGCTATATCCCTTCGGTGAAATTGAGATTTTATGACTAATAGAGACTAGGTCAACATGCAAATATCTGGTAATTACTACCTCAATTTTTAGAATGATTGAAGTAATTAATCTAGTGATATATCGAAGCTACTTTCGATTCATGAATAAATTGAACGAATCTGTTTGTACTTTACAAAGCAATTAGAAAGTTAAGAATTTAGTGAAGTACCTCTACGTAAAATCTTTAGTGTTCTGATTTTCTTCTTATGAAATCAAGACTAGATTCGTATTTTTGCTCTAAACCTTTGCTTTTGCCCATACAGAGCGGTGGATGTACTCAAAAATAACTTCCCAAAGCATCTGGAAGACGGTAGTTTCAATGATCTGAGGAGAGTAAGTTCTGATCCGCAAAGACATTCCTTATGTCGTAATTTCATGAGATTGTATGTAAATTTGGTTTAGCTAACGAGGTCTGGATCAATGAATATGGAAATCATGTGGAATGGGATCTGATCAAATGTCTATATAATTTGCAGGATTATCCCATATTTAACTACCTCCATCACCAACTTCTCTTGTGCATCGGAAAAGCAAGCGACTCTTCACCTTCCGATACATCCTCAAGAATGTCAAACCCTGCAAGTCCTTCTATTGAGGGTACTGAAATGCACTCTTCCAGTGTCACCAATGTCCCGCAAAGTGACATAAACATTATTCCACCAATTGAAAGCAATTAGCAAAACTTTGACTAGTGAAAATAATGTAATGTAGCAAAAATTTGACCAGTACTCCTTGGCTAGTGAAAACAATGTATGTGTCATCACATACACATCAATCTCACTCACACTAGTTTATGTTAAGCTCTATATTGATGTGTATGAGAGTAAGTGAAACACTTACTATACTTGATGGGAGTAGAGTGTGAGCATTTCTGGATAAGCGCTGAAATGCTCATGTACTCTTTACAAATATATATGTTAGTTTATAACTATGTGACTAAGTCGGTCGCCTACAACACTAGTTCAAAAGAGTAGAGTGCCAGAAATTCTAGATGAAAATATTTGAAGTGCTCATTACTCTTTACTTCTATATGTTAGTTTTTGATGAGGTGTAGTCTATTACCTACAACACTAGTTCAAAAGATTGCAGTGATAACATTTCTAGATGATGATATTTGAAGTGTTCATTACTCTTTAATTCTATATCTTAGTCTATGTAGTCAATAACCTACAACACTAGTTCAAAAGAGTCCAGTGATAACATTTCTAGATGATGAATTTTGAAATTCACATTCCTTTTTACTACGTTGTGTTAGTTCATGACTATGTGACTTAGTCGGTTACCTACAACACTAGTTCAATTAGTTATAATATGTTTGTTTAGTAATTTATGATTCTGTCACCTATTGCAATCAGTTCAAGAGCAAGGTGGAAGCATTTATAAATAATTATAGTGAAATGTTCATATACTCTTTACTGCCACATGTATTTGTTCATTACTATGAGACTAAGTCAGGCCTCGTAAGGACTTGGGAATTCCCATAATTATCTAAATTACCTTAAATTATGGATTCCATTTTTCTTATTTTTTTTAATTCTGGGATTTACCCAGAAACTCACTTTATCACTCGATGATGGTCTAAATCTGACTTCGATAAATTGTCTCTGAGATATATGTTGAGTGTTAGAAGTTGAATATGTATAAACTACGAGCCCATAATCTGCCATGAAACAATTGTGAAGGCCACTTGGATTTCTTCAAATGAGATTGTATCATCAAACCAATGTGACTGCACACCTTCAAGAGTACACAAAATCAATACTTCAAGAAAGGAGCAAATTTCTAGACGCAAGTGGGATATGCTACACCCTTTTGAGTACATATGGATTACAGCAACAATGGTTTGTGATTGATGAGAAATCTTCAGCTGGCAAAATATGTAAAAGATAAAAACCAGTGGAATATAGTCTTAGATGCAGGATGTATGGACAGGGATATCGGGTAAGAAGTTCATGGAGATTAGACCATAAAGCTTCAGGCACCATCAAGCACAGTAAGCAATATTTGCAGAACAAAATTCACTTTCTGATTCTTCTTTGTAAAAGCTCAACTTTTCCTTCCAGACGTTGTATAAGGTGTCTCAGCACCGCGAGTGACTATGGACTATGACACTGGACGTACTTAATTCATGGACGCCGCAAGTTTTAATTATGGTTAATTCTGTAGACGAATCCTAGGCCTGGACTAAGTATATCACCTACAATACAGGAGGCCTGGACTAAGTCTATCACCTACAATACTATACAAGTTGTAAAGAGTAGAGTGAAAGCATCTCCATTTGATCATCGTTGAAAGGCTAAAATTTCTGTTTGTGTGTATGTGAGTTAGTCAGATCATTGATCCACTTGTTAATGGAAGTGGAGTGTGAGCCTTTCTAGATTAGTGAATGCATGAATATGCTCATGTACTGTATATTACTAGATGTTTGTTCTTTAATATGTGATTCAGTTGTTGACCTATAATCCTACTTCAGAAGAATTACGAAGTTGTGCAGCTACAACTTTTCAGCGAACTTAGTGCAAGCACTAAGTTCAAGCAATATATTCAAGCACTAATACCGCTTTGTTGACAAATTCTAGAATGTTGATATTATTGCATAATAATTGCATAATATTCATTTTATTTGGAATATACCGGCAACATTCTGGATCATTGGATGATACAATAACAAAGCCTTTTCCCATGATCCTCAAGGAAGCTATTTAATTTACAGGTGGAACAAGTCAAGAAAAAGTTGATATAAAAAGTCCTTGCAATTCAGTATAAATTATGGAAAAGGGTTATTTTTCTATGAATCTCGGTTTGGAAATAAAGATAATGTTAATCTTGATGTTTATTATATGCTACAAAGATCTCAACTTCCATGTTTTACAATAGAGGGTACGTCTTTCCTGACCCACTCCAAGTAGTTTTCGTTGCTATTCTAGTGATTTCGAATTCATATGACAATGACATAAGTCATCTTTAGATAATCATGTCAATATGCTCTTATAGCTCTTAATTCTTGACTGTTGACGGTTCTCCCTTTCTTATGCCGTTCGGATATAGGAAAAATTTTGGCATTAGCTTTTGAGGTGGCTCTACCGAATTGCACAAGGACAGGCAAGAAAGGTAAGGCCCGTAGAGAAAAAGGGAAGGTTGGAAGAGCATTCGTGTAGGCAGGAAGATTAAGAGCGTATTAGGAGAGGTAACGAATCCATCAATATGTATTCGGACAAACGGGAGGAGAGGGCAAGAGCAAAAGAGAGAGCGAGAGGTAGAAAGAGTGTATACGTGCCTAGAATTATTCCATCTCCGTTGTGATGCACGACACTGGTTTCAGTTTGCAAGTATATGGATACATATTCATGATAAAAGATGAGAGACACCCATGACTGCTGTTGGATTGTGAATGTTACTTAATTGTGAAAGGAGCTTTGAACGTGAGCTACAGCAATTAATTTTGGTTTACACAGACAAGTTTGTTTGTGTAATTTCAGGTGTATAATTGCACTACCTGTCACGAACATAGTAGAGTGATGTGAGAATCTCTATCAATCCATTTCTAATGTTGAAACAAAAATGATGGAAGTTGTTATCTTGAAATCTGAAATCAATTCAAATGATGGACTGGTTTAATTACGTAAGGTATGCATATCGTATACAAATACAATGAAGGATTAGACAATTTTGTATGGCGATAATGAGGACATAAAATTAAGGTTTCTTCTGAGACTACAACAAAATCTTCACCCATAGGCTATAGGAGAAGATTTGGAATTTGGGCTATAGGCTATAGCCCAAATTCAAATAACGGCAAAAAAATATTCATTCAACAACGGCTAAAAATAGCATAAGCATCAGCAAAGTCAAAGTAGTGGAATAAACATGCATACTTCTCGACTTCAGTTTCGAGTAAACTTTCGTGAAATGACAAAGAAAAAGCCCATGTGTTTATCTAGATGATATTTTTATAGAGAATACAACTACATCAACCTTCCATTACATGTCATGTACACGTAACTATACGAATGATAAATTCTTGAAGAATGATCAATAACATAAGGGAACGACTAGTTATCATTCACTTAGGGTTAATTAGCACTCATTTTAGTATACGTATTTTTCTTATAGGTCAAGGTAGTAAGGTTCTATAATTGGTTGATGTAAGGTAGTAGGGAAGCAATAGCATTTATAGGGTATTCAACCAATCAAATAAGCACGTATAATAGAGTGAGGTTTGATTAACCCTAAGTGAATGATAACTAACCCAATTTCGAGTAATCACATATGTCAAGAAAAGCACACGGTGCACATGAAGAGGACTGAATCTTCATGTGCAACCTATTTAACATGGCAAAGTCCGTAGCGTTATAAGATCGCTTGGAATGAACTTGTAAACGGGAGAAGAAGAAAAAGATACCATGTGATAATCTTCTGAAAATAATTCTCATCCCATAGAGTTTGCTAGATTACTCGATGCTCTCATTTCCTTACAATTATCCGAGAGACTGCAGACATAATGAAAGCATGCTCATCCTCAAATTTTTAACTGAGTGCATGTTGCTAGTCTTGGCAATCACTCTCATTTGATACATTCGGTCAGATGGACGGTCAACACATCACACACTTTCAACTTTTGACGATCATATAGTATATGCACACTAGAGAACCCATCACATGTAGGCATTGGTCATTTGACTTCAGTGGGACAACTCATGTTCAGAGGCGGACAAATGGATAAATGAGACACCTATGCATGCTGAAAAGCTCCTTAACAGGACATGTGGAGGCTACTCAGCAACTGTTCGCACACGTGGCCCTGTCTGTATGGAGACACGCTGGACGCCAGATGGTGTGCTCAACTCAGTATTTTAATCAGTGCGTTGGGCGAGTCACTATCTAGAGCTCTCAAAAGAAGGACGGAGACATCAGTTCTACTGACCCGCAGTTCAGCTCATTGGAACCAACGACGGAAAACGCTCGTCTCACTTTTGAGGAAGACTTCGTTAGGTCTGCGTCGGGCACGAGGAGAACAGGTCTCTGTAGATCGATTCGGGAGAAAGAGGGAATACTTGATTGATAGATCGATCTCAGGAACGTCGAGAAAACGCAGAGCGATTGGATCTCCGACGAAGAGTCGGGAAGATGGCGTTGGAATGGATGGTCATGGGGTCGGCTGCAGCGATTGAGGCTGTTTTTCTTCTTCTCTTGACACTGCCGCTTCCAAATTCTCTTGCAAGAAACGTGGTGAAGCTGATGAAGGCAGCGCTGCGTCCGTTGATGGCTGTCATCCCCTTTGCTCTGTTTCAGCTGTTGGATGTTTACTGGAAATACGAACATAGGATTACATGCTCCGGCGAGTCTTGCACAACTCTTGAGAGGGATCGTTTCGAGAAATCGACGTACAAGGGTCAGAGGAATGGATTGATTGCTCTGTGTGCTGCCTTTCTTTACTGGATGATCTACCGATACGTGTACTATAGCGAGGAGTTGGCGAGACTCGAGGTGCAAAATAACAGATCGAAGAAGGAATAAGTATAGGGTTTGAAAACGCAGGACTTTTCTTCCGTGTGCGTTTACTGGAGGCTTCTATGCAGCCATAGTTCCGACCTATTCTTTCTTAAGACTTAGCAAACTGCACAATTTCAAGTCAAACGAGACTGATGATGTCGGAGGATGTATTCAGTTGGTTGCAAAGGGGCTTTCCGGTCACGCGCAGTAAGCTCCACGGAAATCTTCCATTAGGGTTACGTCGATATGCACTTATTTTTATGTGCTCATCTTGACTATCGTATAACCTACATGTTTAAAGTCTGGATGTACAGTTGTCTCGTTTGAAATTCATAGAAAGTGCTTGTTCAACTACTCTGTGAAAAAATTCCAAGTTCTGAATTTCACAATTGTTGTTTGATGTTGTGTTTAACTCTATGAGTCTTACACCATTGCTTTTCCATAGGCTGCTGTGGGTAGGTTACATGGATGAAAATCTAGAGATATGATAGATGATTATCTTTATATACAAGAGGCTCTCAATGGGTTTCAAATGTTGGCAGTTTTTGAGGTGTGAAAGTGGAAGCATCAATGTTAAGGTTGTGGATAAGTAGATACGTATGTGATCTTTGAGGAAGAGTTTCATTCTTGAGCATTATGATTATAGAACGCATAATATGTAAGACGACATAGATTCATCAGAAGGATCTCTTCTAGACCACGCAGAGAATGAGTTCCAGGACATCGGAGTTGTTAGGAATAAGCAAATATTCTGCTCTTTCCAAGTTTTCTCAGAGCTACGAAGTCTACCTCCACCAACCAGTTCAAAAAAATTATTGTGCAGTGTGAAGATCTGCGACAAGTATCGTTTTGTCTCAGAAGGATGAATGTTAATAGTCTCAACTAGCTTTTCAGGGTATGCTCCCCAAATCGATTCTTAGACGCAATTATCGGTTAGGTCATATCACCTTACGAATGTAGATATTTTTCTAGTTCACATCCTTTCTACTTTGCAGTTGTCATGTTAACAATAGCGTAACATTACAATCTTTGTACATTTATTCTGAAAGAGAGGAAAGAATACATGGAAATTGCACATGAGTGACACGCCAGGAGCGAAGATTAGTTTCGCGTAAACCTTCCACCTTGTATTCTTCATTTCCCCACTTCTTGTATTGCGAACTGTATTTTTTCAAAACTTCTAGAAAGTATAAGTATGTAAGAAAGTATGAACTCAACGAGTCTATAATACAACCCAGCAACAAGTGAAAATACAGATGAGATTGCTTTTAATAGAATTACAAACGCCTACGATAGTTTATTTTCTGGTTGTTAAAAAAACATTTGGTTCGCCTAATAGCGGTTATTATATTCAATTTAGTAAGCACCGTTGTAGGCCTCAATTTATGCCAGAAATAGCGATTATATGTGTGTTCTTAAACACATATGTCATTGAGTACACGCAAAATAGCAAAGACTACTCAAAGGTTTATATTATAATATATCTGATATTGGATACTCTATTGATTAATGCAACAGAAGTCAATATTAATGTCCTTGTAGAATTAAAATTTCACAATTAAAATTTTTAATAAAATTAATAACGAATAAATAAATAAAGTAAACTTCTTATTTAGATTGTTTTTATGTATGTTTTTAAACGTGTTTCCATTGTAAATCGATCATATGAATAAATATCTTATTGATCTCCAATCCTTCATAAATGAAAAAAATTTATGCACATGTCAATTTGCTAATCTTAAAAATGGAAAATAAATTTAAGATGTTATGTTCAATCTCTCCTTACATACTGAAATGCTAGTAATTATCCATAATTCAAATTTTATTGATTGTTACATAAGTACACATGAAATGTATGTTTTTATCTATCAAGAAGTATCAAAGTTTAATTTTCGGACAATCAATTTCACAGAAGATTTGTTTTGATATTAGCGAGTGCGAATATCTGACATCTCATCATGTTCAAAAGAAGTCAAATGATACAAAATTAAAAATAAGGCAGATAATCTACATGTAAAGCAATGTGATGATACCGTGGGAAAGTTATTTTCGTGTATTATACTCAAAACATTGCAAATAGTAAAGTCTAAACGCGGTGGTATGACTTGATAAGGTGTAAATGACTGTGTGAAGAATTTGTAGAATTTTTTTTTAATGTAAGGATATTCTTAAATTGATTATTGCAAGTTTTCTCGTCATCTTGGAACCAATCAATCTTATAAGATGGATGTGAAAAAAATGAATGTTGTATTCTCCGCCATTCACGATTGACTGTCCCAACAGTAAAAAAAATCGAAACACATATTTTTCCGTACATATTATTCTCTAGGAAAAATTTGTTACATATTGATTAAATACCATATTGCACTAACCTAACATGATTCACGTATCATTTACAGCTAAGTTGAGAAGAAAGTGTTCTACTTGAATACATTCCGTCACTGGCCCATGTTTGTTACTTCCTTCACAATAGTGACTTTGATAGACAGTCACACTGCATTCAATTCTTAGATCAGCTTTGACTCTATAGGAATGATTTGCGTTTCCTTGAATTATATAAGACTTGCATCGTACTTCTCGATATAGTTCCTTTCACGGTAAGCGTGGCCCATCATTTCGTTCTGTAATCAATTCCATGAATGATTCAGTACAATTCAAAAAAACTCGAACGAAAGGATCAGAAGTTGCTTATAAAAAAGTGGAAAACTTTTGAAAGCCTATCGGAGCACAGAACCCTGTTCATGAGAATTTCACAATAAGATGCAATGAAAACGAGGCTTGCCATCGTGGTAAATCGTGGTAGCTATATCACGAGAGACGCCATGCCATCGGACGATAATCAAACAAAAGACAGACAGGGATCAACGGAGCAAGAACAACACGCTTTATAGCACAGATGAGTATACCACATAACAATAACATTATGTACAAATATCGAGAGTCCAGGAGGCAGGAAATGGCCGCCCGCCTGATCATTGTACAATTGTTACAAACCTGGGACCTTTCTGTACAAGACCTCGTCGTCACCAGGACAGCAACGGAGCGTCAGACACTGAGCTTGGGCCGAAGATCATGAGGAGCGCAGAGTTGGGTGAAGCGATCGGAGCAGGCCAGGCGGATGCGCTCGGGAGTGGCCGGGCTGTCCAGCACGAACCATCCGTCCAGACCCGAGTCTTGGCGCGCCGCCAGGATGGCGTCCTTGATGGCGAACAGGGCAGCCGAGGCCAGAAAGAACGGAGGCTCTCCCACTGCCTTCGACGAGTGCACCGCCTTCTTGTTTGGCACATCCTGCAGCCATCGAACCATCGAACCATCAGCCATCAGATCTCTTTTTTCCTCTGCACGAGTCCCGTTCATTCATTCATTCATATATTCATTCATCTCTCTGTCTCTCTGTCTCTCGTTCAGAAGAAAGATTGTGGTGCGTACGGGGCGTGATATGGACTGTCATGAGTTTTGTGGATAGAGTGAGTGTGTAATAGGACACCTTCAGTAGAGTCACCCGGAAGTCGACCGGAATGTCGTTGCATGTGGGGATTTTGTAGGTCCCCGGTCCTTTGGTGAACAAATGACCAGGTCTCAACCACGAGTGATCGGCATCGCCCCACTTCAGTTCCTCCAACGCCACCCATCCTAACCCCTGAACGAATCCTCCTTCGACCTGCGCAATTCAGACACAGGGAACAACTCAGAACATTGGGCCAAAAAGCCTCCTTCATCCTCACTGCATTTTCGACGCTGTCTGTCTGTCTTCAGCTTACACCTATCCGAAGTAGGAGGTTCTTCCTAGCATCAAATGACGAGCACTTTGAAGCCAGAAGCAAAGCCGCACACTAGAATCACACGATTTTCACACTCCGAAGCAATGAATGTATCCTGTAGAAAAGGAAAAGCATCAAGACCGGTAGGACTTCGTAATCGAGGTTGCTGTGCTTTATTTGGAAGAAAAAAATTTGACCTGGCCAACATCGATTGCAGGGTTGATGGGAGTGCCTAAATCCATCACAATGTCAACACGACGGAGGTGGAAGTCGCCTGTGAGTGTGTCGATCTCTGTCTCGGCGAAAGCTGCGCCGAATGTGAAGTAAGCGAAAGGCTTTCCTTTGCCAACGTCCCATTCGAAGCCAATATCAGGAGTGATATAGAAACCGTGAGCTGAGAGGTCAATTCGCTGCAAGTAGCTGGCTAGTACTACCTGCAAGAGTGCACATCAGGTCCCATTCCAGGTCAAGGAACCAGTCTTAGAAACTATGAGACAACCTCATTGTCTATCATTCACCTGCACAATTTATCAACTACATGAGAATGATCAAGTGAGGCTTTTTGTCCCCTAAAATCCCTCGAGGCTATGATGGGATCAGACACCGACCGAACAACCTCAGGACGTACCTCAGGAAATGACGCTCCAGGCATCTTCTCAGCGATGGGTTTGATGCGGGCCTTGATCTGCTCACATGCATCAAGAACTGCACCTCCATACATATCTGAGCTTGCAGAAGCTGCCGTAGGAGAAGCATTTGGCACCTAAAAAAATCCACCCAGCATAGTTGAGGAGACAATAAGTTCCTACTAAAGCTTCAATTGTCGAGATGACCGGATTCTGATAATATGCAAAATACTATAAACATCCGTCATAAACACGAGCTCATAAAGAATATCGTTCTGTCTGTAACGTGTTGTTGAATGGTGCCGGGTCGATGAACCGGAGACTTGGAAGCCCCAAGTCTTGGGGCTTCCACGTTTTGCCAAGGAGATATCCGAACATCAAAACTTAAGCTAATGCGGCGGGATGGTCTTACAGTACACTCCCATAGTTGGACCTGTTGGATCCAATTCACTTCCACTCCACTTATATGATCTTAGAGTTGGTGAGATATGGAGCCTTTATCGCGACACTTTAAACTAAGACCTTGCTCGAGCGAGGATTTTCTTCATGTTCATGTTCAGGTTTCCCAGTCTTAGAGACTAGAGGTCTACCTTGTCTTCACTTTCGGCTGGCTAAGAGAGAGAGAGAGATGCTGCACCTTGTCAGTGCTTGTGTCGGAGATGAAGACCAAGTTCACTGGAATGTCAAACGCTGTAGCTGCAATCTGAGCCATTTTAGTGTGCAAACCTTGTCCCATCTCGACACCTCCATGTGTAACCAGTACTGTTCCGTCCGTATAAACTTGCACCAAAGCTCCTGCCTGCAGAAATGAAAGTAGACGTTGGATCACAGCTTCCTAATTATGTATGTGTATGACAGTTTCCCACTTTATCAGAAAGTTTTCACAAGCTCCATGTATATTATTGCAGTCCGGGGATCTGGGAAACCATCTGCAGCCGTTGTATGAAAGTATCATCCCTAATTTTATTCAGGTGTCCAAGACTCTAAAAGAGGGTCCTTGCTCACACCTGATTGAGAAGTTTGGTGGTGAAGGAAATCCCAAACTTCGTGGGAACCATGGCTACACCTCTTTTCTTCCACCGGTGTTGTCGATTGAAGGCTTCAGCTTCTTCTTTCCGCTTTGCAAAGTCACATGAGCTTTTCAGCTCATTCCAAACCTTTCCAATGTGACAATCGGTAACAAACTGTCCATAGTGTAGCTCATACCCTTCATATTGAAGGTTTAGTTCCTGCAAGTCAAACCCATGCATGTTTCAAGTAGTGCTTAGCTCAGCTGAAACTGAGATATATCTGCAAGAGGATATGATTCCAATGAGGTCGGATATTCATGCTCCTCTACGATTCTTGATGAAAATCGGCATGTGAGAGTTGCAAGCTGGAGTGCTGGGCCGAGACTAATAGTAACGAGATCTGTGCTGTTCGCAACATGCATCTGCTCATGCAAGATGTCACTGCAGAAATGAAGGTGGAAATCCCTACCCGAATGTCTTCAGGAGCTCGTCCGACCGTGCGGGCTATACGCTCGATCCAGTTTTCAGCAATGAGCATGCCTTGAGGTCCACCGAACCCTCTGAATGCAGTGTTGCTGGCTATGTTGGTATTGCAGACCTTCCCTCGTATTCGCACATTCGGGATGACATATACGTTGTCTGAATGGAACATGGCCCTTTCGAGAATCGAATGCGACAAGTCCAAAGTATTACCACCGTTGTTGAAAATATCCAGGTCTAGTGCCAGCACCTTCCCTTCTGCGGTGAACCCAACCTGTCGGCAGAGAGAAGAAAAGAACTTATTCATACATTTGCTTGGTGTGTCGACTAGCCTAGTCCTCAATCTGGGAACAACATTTCAGACACCACAGGGACTGTCCTCGGCTATCTTCTAAAGGCAGTTTTGTGTATTCCTGAATTTTCACGGTCGGCAATTTTGGCATCTCCATCAAATTGGAAATGTTGCTAATCATAAACAGTATTCACATGTGACCTTCTGAATCTAAATAGACATAAGATGACAGCAATTCATAGCCAATCCTCCACAATCTCTGAACCTGTCCTCCAAGGAGCGTTCCTACACGCTTGACTACTCAACTTGCAGTGGATACGATAGGCATGGAAGACTCATGCAGAAGCGTGGTACACATGAATTGTGTCAACTGATCCGTAGAAAATCTTACCTTATATTTTCCGAGAAACGCATGCCTTTGACCTGTGATCATCATATCAATCTCTCTGTCCAGCGTCAGCTTGACAGGTCTTTTCAGCAGATAGGCTGGCACAGCTGCATAAGCATTTACAAATGCCGACCTCGTCTCTTTTCCCCCAAACCCCCCGCCGATCCTCTTTGTTTTACACACAACTTTGTGCATAGGCAGACCAAGCACGTGTGACACGAATTTCTGGTGCTTTTGAGGTGCCTACAAATTTCGATTGTAACATGCAGATTAGCATTGTATCATGACAGACCCAGCAGGAATCAATAAGAAGCAAGAAGCTTCTTATTGCGGACTCAAGGACAACATAAACCACAAACATTTGCGCTGAGACCTAGTAAAAGAGCCAGATCAAAACGAAACTATGGAATCACATCTTCAATGCTATGGATGTTTCCGATTGAAATTTCTTAATCCGAGACCTGATCACTCTAAAGAGCAATACCAGGAGCCTGAGATTGAACTTTTCACACCTGCACTCACCTGTGTGGATGCGAGCATTTGGATTTCACTACCCCCATCGGTTGTCCAGACCAAAGCGCTGTTGGGTTCCAGATAAAAGTGTTCCTGGCCACCCATCTTCACTACAGCTTCGACAACATGATCGCACTTACCACTTGCGAAACACTCGTCCACGTTTCCCGCCTCTAGTTCGCGTTTCGTTCCCCCTTTGCCTCCATGAAAGCTCTCATGGAAGCTGTTACTTGCAATGGCCTCCTCAATGCTGAGAATTGCAGGCAGATCCGCATACTCCACAATGACTTTCAGAGCGGCTGCTTTCGCATTCTGATGTGTGTCTGCAACTACAATGCCAATTACCTACAGAAAGACAAAGTCTTTAATGAGGTCCAAAACGTGATGTGAGTAAGATATACCATTCGTAATGAATTGTTCAAAGAATTGTAATGAAGTGTTCAATCATTCAAAGCGCGAACCTAATGGACTCAGACACTTGTTCGATCAGCAAGGGGCAGACAAGTTGAGATCAATGGTCTTAAGGAATGTATGAATTCACAACCGAGCATACCTGTCCGACACAGGTGACGACTTCAGTGGCAAAAAGCTCTTCATCAGGTACGACAGCTCCGAGATTGTTTCCACCGGGCACATCCTTCACGCAAAAATAACCCTCGAAACCTGGCTGTGCCTCCGCTTCTTTGGTGTCCACAGACAGTATCTTGGCATGAGGTCTTGTACTCAGCACTAGATATGCGTGCAATATGTTTGCAGGCACAGGAACATCATCTACGTACTCGGCCTCTCCCGTTACCTGTAACGCAAAGAAAACTCAGAACACCGAGAACTTTCTTACACAGATTGTTACATTCCTCATCGTTCTCTGAGAAAGGGCAGAAACTGACCTGAAGATTCGCTGACAAATGCATCAGCGGCTGACCGACACTAGTATCCGAGGTTGGTGCCCCATACACCTGCACGCCATGCGGCATTTCCCTGTGATATGGAGCCACAGCTGATCTGTAACTCTCCGGCAAGTCGTGCACATGGTTTTCTTCCTGCTCCAGCTTGTACGTCACATTGAGCCAGAACTTGAAGAAGAAGCTCGTCGTCAATGACCTCCGAAACTCAACCATGCCCCCGGGGGCTCCGTCCCCAATCTTGACGTCCTCAGGAATCAAGGAGAGTGCTCTGTCCATAGTTGCCAGGGTCCATTCTTTCCCTTTGAGGAACTCTTCCGTCTTCTTCGCAATGACGCAAGTTGCTCCCACCCCTCCATATGCCAGAGAAGCATCCGAGACTGTCCAACCCTCTCCTTTGGGCTCTAAAGAGATCCGCATAGCCGCATTCACGAGAGCAATATCATCATCTCGACGATGAGCTTGCTTGAATTCCTTCACATACTCGTACCGTTTGGACCAGGGCAAGAACACGGATGCGAGAATTTCTCCAGTCTTCAAGTCCACCTGACGGTACCCTTTGAAGAACTCGGCTGCCTTCACAAGCCTCGATATCCTGCCCTGCTTAAGGATTGTGAAGGTCGCCCCCGATGCTATCCACAGAGGATTCAAATCTGATATTGGACTCGCAGTACATATATTACCTCCCACCGAAGCCACGTTCCTTATTTGGCTTCCCGCAAACCATTTCAGCTGCTCCAAAAACGCAGAGCAAACCGAGGTTTCATGAGCCTTGCGCTGCTTCAGACTTTTCCTGAGAACCTCCATCAGTCTGGTAAGCGTCACCGATGCACCGACTTCCAGTCCACCATCTGTCTCCCTGATGGCATTGAGTTCCGATACGTGCGTTGAGGAGATCAGGACAGGATAGTCCAAGTTTTTGAACCTCATTTCGATTCCAACTTCGGTATTTCCATTCACCAGTTTTGCCCCAGGAAACCTCGACTTCAAACCTAAGAGGTCATCGAGAGAGTTGGGTCGATACCACTTGAGGCCCCGATGCCCTGTCAAAAACAACGAGAGGAGCTTCCTGTTTCGCAATTCGGCTGGAAATATTGGCTCTCCCTTAACTGACTGAGTCGACTCAGTCTTGTGGTGGTGACTTGAGTCGCCATTCTTGGAGTGGGTCGTGTGACCATTCGACGAGTCGCTATGAACGCCGTTTGCTCCTGCACTGGCTTTCAAGTCCTGATGATTACCATTTGCCACCGCACCGTTCTGGCTCTTGCAGTCGCATGGCTTGCCGGTGGATGGGCAGATCGTTTGGCCATCCTTCCGAGAAGGCAAACCATTGCTTGCCACGAGAGATTCATCAATATACGGTCCCGGATCAGTCTTGGCGAAAACACGAAACGCATCCAGAATTGGCCGATACCCTGTACAGCGGCACAAATTTCCTGCAAGGGCCTCTTCGATTTCTTCGGTTGTGGGAGCACCCTTGGTTGCCCGCAAGAGGGAATACATTGACATGACAAACCCTGGTGTACAAAATCCACACTGAGATCCATGACTGGTAGCTAACGCTTCCTGCAATGCAATGCGACCCCAGTCCCCAAGGCATCAGCAGTCAAAGCACGTGCTGAAGCTACAACTTGTTGAATGGTAGACACAACCCGAGTTCAATTCAAATCTGGCCAATCGGTACACTCTGCAGTGAGCAAGTCATGGGCTTAGATGCATGAATAACAAACACACGAAGCTCTTTGACGTCACACGCCCGATTGAATTGGGCTGGTCATAGCGAGCTCGGTCTGCTGGAAGCTTCCTTGAGTGACTTCACAGAACCTCAATTTAGAGTGTATGCTGACAAACCTGGACAGGATGTAAACCACGACGTCGATCACCGAGGCCTTCGACTGTCACCACGTGCATTCCCTCCACAGAGTAAAGAGGAGCCAAACAGGCATTTACTGCCCGGTGCCTGCATTCGTCAGACCAGGAACCCCGAGGTCAAGCTTTTCTGAAACAAAAATGTCAGAACCTCTCGGTCCCCAAACGTTTGCAGGGGATACATGTCCAACTCTCAACTGGGATACGATTAGTGTCGACGCAGACGATTCAGAGCATCCGACTGTCTTCCTGTCTTAGACTATAGCATCCAGCTTTCTGAACTGGGGAGAGATGGAGTGGCAAGAATCATACACAACAGTTTGCTGCACTGAATCGAAGTGAGACACCATAACAGTGCAAGCTCCACATCCTCCTTCTCCGCATCCCAGCTTGGTTCCAGTGAGACCCAGACCTGCTGAATGAACGACATCAGGTCAGAAATTGCATGTTGCACAGATGACGGGACGACGTGAAGCTTCAAGTTCTGCGTCCGACAGTGTCGTAGGAGTACAGACCAATGCCTTAGACGAACAGGCCACAGGCACAGTGCGATCCATGTCGGATTCGTAAGTCGAAGGAGAGTCGAAGGCTACAGATTTTGAGATTCGGAACAAATTTCGAAGGCTACAGGAAATTTAGTTGTCTCGGAAGCGTCTTTCTTGTCGACTCATTTATTTGACGGTGATTTAGTCATGCCGATTCTTCTTCATTTACCGCTCTTTCAAATCAGTGGCCTCAAGCAAATACACGAACTGCTCATCACGATCAGCTGTCCAAGTTAGAAGCTCTGTTTGTCCCGATTCAGATCGATGGTTCCATTATGGAAACATTCAGATTGTCGTCAAAGTCAAAGCAGAGAGAGAGAGAGATCTGTATGGCTCACGTTAGCAGATTGACCACTTCGAATTGAGCTACAGAGCCGAATTGACACTTCGACGAGCGGAGAAAGACGACAAGCGGGCTATGGCCTACTTGATGTCATGTCATGGCTCGGGCTTATCCGGTGCAGCGGATGATTCGCAACGACAGACGGCCAATCTACGCAATAGTCACAGAGCAGGCTGGCAGGCAGGGGTACAGACAGGAATGTCAGCTCACAGCATATCACAAAGAAGTGTGTGGGGCTTATGTGCTGCAAATCCGAGTTCATGCCGCTGGCATCGAGCGAGCGTCAGATCGTTCGTTCTCGAGAAATCCAGAGCATGTTCCTTGGCTTCCGTACTCGACGAATGGACTTGATTTTGGGACTGACTGTAATTTGTGCGAGAGACAAGACACTGCCCGGACTAAGAAAATTGTGAGGAGTAATTATGACAGTCCATGAGCTCGGGTGCTCGGGTGGATGCAATTCAGGACGCTGAGGAACGAAGAAAGTAGAGGACACGATCTTGACAAGCGTGGTGCACGAAGCGGGCAGAAGACGGACCTCGCAGATACTCCAGCAGAGTAGAATGGGCTTGATCCTTGGGCAGGATTCGCCTGGTCCCGTTCACGTACAGAAGCGGCTCCTGCTCCGAAATCTGGTGAGTGTCAGAGGTGGGCATCTCTGACTCCTCCACGCCCAGCGACCCCATCGTCTCTATCTCTCTCTGTATCTCCTTCTCTTCCTTCAATTCTCACAACCATTCACGATGCCGAATTCCCTCGCCGAGTGCCTCCCTCTCGACCATCCATCCCTTCAAGCTGAGCTGAGCTACTAAGCTGAGCTTGAACCTCTTGCTGCCTGCTTGCCCGCATGCCTCAGTGCACAAAGGGAGTAGTAGCTGGCAAGTTTTCCCCTCGCCCTGCTGCTCAATCCTCGTCTCCGCCTCGTGCTTCTCACTTCTCGAGCTTCTGACTCAGAGTTTCGAAGCTCAAGCTGCTCGGTCACCGCGTCTGGACACGAACCGACATCTATTATTGCTCTCAATCTCAAGCTCAAGCTCAAGCTCCGGGTTCGACTCTCGTTCTCGTGCTTAGTCTTTGCGTTCTCGACTTGCTCTCGATGGACTGGAGCTAGAGAACCTGCACCATGAGACCGAGCGGGGGAGTCCCGGGAACCTGGGCCAGAGTCGTCGTACTCGGAACGCTGGACCCTTCTCGTGTCGACTCCACAACCGCAAAATTCGCTCGACGGCGGTCGCCCTGACAGACTGACGGCGAGAGGAGGCGAGAGAGAGAGAGAGAGAGGAGAGAGAGAGGAGAGAGCGGGGGTGGGTGCCTATGTCAGCAGCCTGAGCCTCTTATGCACGTGGATTGTCCTGCTAGGCCATGCCGACACTCAACATGACATTCTCGTCTCGTCCGTCTGTGGCTGCGCAGATTTCTCTCGGGCCATCTCACCCTCTTCTCAGAAGCAAACAAGTACGGAGACATATTCCCAGTTGTCCCTCTTTCTCAATCTGTCGTCCTAAAAGCTTGCTTTATGAACGCGTAGAGGAGGTCACTTGCAGAACCACCTTTCGTGTCGTAGATTACTCGCTTTTGGGTCCGAGTGAATGTCCTTCCTCGGACACAACCTTTTTGGACTCGACGGGAAAGTGCACATTCATCTGACTCAGTACACTTCGAGCAGTCGCACCATGTACGCACACAGCCGGTGTCCGGGTACTGTCCGAGCAGAGCATGAATGGTGGGGGAAGGGAGTCGAAACTGTCTCGGGCCCTTCTCTTATTCTTGCTGTTGCAGTTGCAGGTCACCACAGAACTCCAATTCCCTTCACATGTACGATTAGCTGATATTTTTGCAGGCTCTGGATATGGAATTTCCTGGGACTTATGCTTAGTTTAAGATTATTGTTGTGTTGATGATAACATAAGATTCGTCTCTCGATTTCAGTGCTGGGTCGACGTCACACCTCTCTCCCTCCAGGTGAGGTGAGGTGAGGTGAGGTGAGATGTTTTTCTCTTGATCTGCAAGATTTGCCTCGACTGTAACTGGGAGGATTACACACATACAGACCAGAGCAGACGAGAGAAGGGCACTTACAGTCTTGTAAGCTTGAGTGATGCATGTATAGTATGGTGTGGTGCACGGGGGACGGACGGACGAAGTCAAGCGGAGGTGAACTTGTGAAGGTCGGTTTGCGTCATATAGGGAAAGCATGCAGTGAACACGGAGGGATTTCATCTCAGGCCCACGATGTCCCACATAAACAGACCAACCGTCCGGCACCCTCACAAGATTGGCGAGGACTGCTTTTGTACCTGCTGCAGCACGCATTGCATCGCAAACTGGAGGGAGCTGTACTTGGAGGCGCTGGAAAATCCCGTGCTCCTCCGCCTCGCCTGCTAAACAATACACTGCAATTCACGATTCCGCTCAACGATCGTGATGCATTTCATCATTCTAAATGCATTTCTCTAATGTCACTTCGCCTCACCAGCCAGCCAGCCAGCCAGCCATCACTTCAGAACAGAGCTGCAGTAGGAGAGAGCGTTAAATTCGGCATGTCTGCCAGTATATCTCCGTTCCGAAAGGAGTCCATTCCGGTCAGCGAAGGATGCACACCTTCGCTTGGCCCCTGGACAGATTCGGCTTCTGAACTCGTCATCAGCTCACAGTTTTCAATTTCTCTGATTTCGTCAAATAGAGCGATCAAAGGGTTTCATAGATTGACGGTGCCGATGTGAAGATCGTCACCACCTTTCGATCAATGGAGAATATCAAAGCATCGATCTAGCCGAGAACTTTGAGAAGGTCTGCTCCAGTCAAACAAAAGAACATAAACAGCAACGAAGCTGAGACAAGAGAGGCCGCTGGAATCAGACTCTGGACGCAGTTTGTCAGGATGTCCGAGAATCTTTTCGAAGAGAGCACGCATCTAGCAGTCTTGGTTGGCTATTACGTGGAATAAATTTTGCTCCATGTGCTGAAAGTTGTTATTCCTCTCCCATCTTAAACTATCGACGAAGTAACATGAAGCATATTATAAAGTGGCCAAACCGTTGTGTGCCGCATAGGAAAGCAGTGGACGGACCCAGACTCGGAGTAATATAGAGGATTTCCTCCTAAATTATTGACTCATCGAGCATACGTACTATACGAGCAAACAATCTTCATTCTGAAGAAAAGCAATAATTTAGAAACCTCAAGTGAAAGCACTCTTTTTATATAAATGCACGCTCTCTTAATCATTAACAACTTTGTGCAAAAGATGACCATTTCCAAACGACATACCCTTTTGAGACAAACCAACAAAAAACTATCACTCGGTCACTAGAAAGTTGCAGTAAAGCATAAGTCACATAGGAGACAAAGTTGAGGATAATCGAACCTTCCATGTTCTTGGTGCGATACAATCTTAGGAAGAGTCATATGATATGACTCTTCCTAAGATCGATTTAATACTTCCTATATTGATTATGACTCATAATCAATAATTTCGTGGATCAACTTCCTACACCTGGAGGTAACAATATCTGTTATTATCATACCCAATCGCTATGTTATGAAAAACCCATCATATATACCCCGCTCATGTATTGTATTGAGTTTTCTATCCACCACATGGGGCTATGAAAGAATCGAATGTGTGGGGGTACTCACCTATGGATTCTGTTTTATCACACAAGGCTTTGGTGTCAATACCAATCTCATATCCGATACTTGAAGTGCTTAAAAAAAAAAAAAAATAGAGAATAAAAAAAAAAACTTGCAACATGCAGTCTAAACATAAAAGATTATGATGGCAAGTTGTTCACACTTCCAGCCGTGTAGACTACGATCTAAACGGATTGAAGTGAACTTGTGAATGAATCCATGAAATCATGATCAGACCAGGCTAGTGACATCATTGATGAGAAGATATACTCAAGACGATCCATACTTTTTAGATGCATGAGGCAAATCCTCTCGCCAGGTTACATGAAAGAATTGTTGGGAGAAAGTAATGAGCAGTTGTAAAAATATCAGGTACACTTTAAAGGACTCATAAAAATTCCAATCGGCTTTGTTTTGGCAATATGACTCCACAATTGCATCATCAAAATCCTAGCAGGCTCGACTGGGATTGGTTGTACAACTTGATTGACATGCATGTAATATTTTGAACATACAGTTTCTAGATAAATATGTGATATCCTCTTCAAACAAAAAGTGGATATCTATATTTCAAACAGTAAAATGCATGAAGATCTTCAAAAATAGGAGAGTATTTATCGAAATATTGTAATGTTGAAAGAGGATTTTTTTATTTATGAAAGTGATAATAATGGTTGAGTGAGATTTATAGGCAATCCCGATCAGCAGATAAACATCTTGATATTTTGAAAACATGACATAGAAATTATTCACGTTACACTCAAATGAGAGAGAGGTCAATTTCTGTGGAGAGATTAGTGATACATACCCACAATAATGTTGAATGTACGTGCTTATGTTGGTATATGTAGAAGTAAAGAGTTATAATATTTTTATCTCACTTGTCACATTACTGTGATGTATATCAACACATTCCAAGGAGATGAGTGTCCTCGCTAAGATAAGTAAAATTTAATATTTGAGTGAGGGACATATCATCGTTCCACTTGCTTTGGAGATGCAATTAGCTTCAGGAGTAAGTGGTAAATTTTATTGGAGAGTGTGTTAGGCTCCATAACGTTATTTCTGTGAACTTAACGTTCTCTTCTTGCTTCCATTACTTTACGCTATATATGAATAGCATATATGATATGTTTTAGGCTCTATCATCCACACATATAAGTTTTGATTGGTGACGCTTCTTCTAGACCTCTTGTTATCACCGTCATGCAGAAAACATCAAAGTCTTCATGAGACAAATTAGCTATCTAGTTTGGATTTATTGTGTTTTGGCTACGGCTTTTGATTTTTATCTCTTTAAATCATGCTTAGATGTGGTTGCATCGCGCCTTTCTATTCCATACGTCCCCCTTCCACGGGCTCTCCTGAAACAGAGCAGCTTGATTCCATAAGGCCAGGTTCAGATAGCTAGCTCTCTTAACACTTAAGTCAGATGTGATCGACCTAGGAAACATGACGTGGACATCAGGATATCATGGAAGAAGTTATTCATGGCAGGGTTGAGGCCTGAGGTTTTAACTCAAAACAGTACCCCTTTGCAACATTATGGACTTTGTTGCACATCAAGCTCGTAACCTGGAGAGCGAGTAAATTGGAAGCAACACCTCGAGACGGTCCTTCCCTGAAAGGACTTTCTTGTTCAGGCTTCGGAAAAAGCTATTCTTAGTTCATGGGGCTTTCGAGGACTCGATGTAGCTCAGATCTCGTGAGAGATCGATTGACTTGTGTACGTGCGTACGTCACGCAGCTTTGGTTGGTGGGACTTTTCGGAGGATAGGTAATGGCAGAGAAGATGTGGCAATCGGATGGTGAGGGTTGTGATGTGGAACAGCTGAATGCACCACGAGAACCATCTTCGACATCGACTTCAAAACTGAGATTCACTACAAGTTGGTGATATTCCACACGTTCGGAAATGTCGATCGAGGTGTGCACATGTCCGTCGCAGCTTTCATGCAGTTGATATGTGCTGCGACGGACGTCGAGTAAAGATCCAGGCATGCACGAATCTGACTGCAAAGAGAGGAGATCGTGTTTGACCGGCAAAAAGATTTCCATTTTGATGTTGGACGTGTGTAAAGAAATGACTTTCTTCGATAAACACATCGAAGGGCTCTCATGGCTTCAGTCAGACTAATGAACAGGTTGGACAACTATCCAGTGCGAACATTTCAGTTTCTTGACTGCCTTGCGGGAGTGTGAGCTGCACCTTCTGACTAAATCTGCTTCGACATGACCAGGAGGTCCGCATTTACTTCCGCTTATAATTTGTGGCTTTAATCTTCTAGTACGGAGACTAGCTAGTATTTAGAGTTGACTCACACTGTATCATGAAACACTTACTAGTATGATTAAGTGTTCAATTGCTCTATTATTTGTCCACTTTGGTACTGGAAAATAAGAATATACAAAATGCGTGTATTCATTTTTCGTTCTACATAGTAAAAATGTAGTATGTGCATTTAATTGCTATACTGTTTGTACCCCATTGTACTAGAGAATTTAAAAGGTGCGCTGAGGTATATTTCACATTGGGATTGTATTCGGCATTTTTTGGTACCAGTTCAAAGTCTACCGAGGCATGTTTTTCATCACGATGCTATTTGCGCTTCCATGCCTTGTTTGGTACTATATAATATATTTCAATTAGGTTTGCCTGGCTATATATTTCCCTATGATATCTTCGAAACTGTGTGCTTTTCATAAAATAATGTCACAGAGAATAACTTGGTCGGCCCCACTTCTTTCCTTCTCAAGCAAGTGCACTCTGAAACTAAGAATTTTTAAGGAATCGGGCTTATTATGAAATAATGTACTTTTCATCATGATGTCGTTCGTGACTCCCCATGTTATCCTCTTGATTTGTGCTATTCATGAAGTAATGTTATTTATTGTGTATAGTAATATTAATATGTTGATACATAGTTTTCGATATGAGGCTATTCACGACCCCCCAAACTATCCTCTTTGTATCCTTCATTCCATGAAACAATGTAACTGCAGGCTGCCACCTGTCGGCGAGCAAGAGGCTCAAAGTCAAGCAGGGAAGGCTTCGAGATTCTTATAGCCCTACGAGGGAGTACAAATGATGTGAATCCTACGGTTTGTTCCTGGATCCTGATCCTTTATGGTACACATATTTCGAAAATAACAATAAAAAGTTTAATAAGCCATATTAAGATAAGGCACTGCTGTGTTTCCAGTGTGAAGATCTGGGTATGCAATCCACGATCCGACAAGACTACCCACCATTACATTAGAAGGCTCATTCCGTTCGCTGATCTACAAACTTCGTGTAGGACTATGATTTCCAAAATGCTCACGAGACATGTAATCTACATCGAATCGAACCACAGTTGACCCATTTGACCGTGATCTGCAATGGTTTGAAATCACGAAAAGTAGAGAGAGGTACAAAACCAACAGCAGTTAGAGTTTCTTTGACCGAATTGCACACTTATGGGTGATATGGGTGAGGAGTAGGTGCCTAGTTTCGCAGTCTTACGTTATATTTATTACTTGGAATGAATATGATAATTCGTTTTACACCCATTTCGGAAATACCATGTTACATATACTCTGAGAAAAATGTATGAAGAAGTAAATAAAGTTTCTTTTTTGGGACTCTTAGCGATCTTTCCAGATTTCACATATGTGTTCATCGATATATTTATGTTTTTTTCCATTGTAATATAATTGAAATCTTATAAATAGAAATTAAACTAAAAACTTTGAAAGTATTCATATGAGCTGGAATGTGGGTTGTCACCTGAGAGTAGATACATGATGAAATATAATGTGACATTTATGGACTTATTGATCTCCCCCAAAGCATTATGTATTACACACTGTTCTAATCTATCTAGTCATGACCATGGGATAATTACCGAAGTGTTAAGATTCAATTGATAGGGATGCTGGATTGAGCTGGAATTTCACATGAACATATCACGTGGGGGTTAAACAAGCTGCACAGATTCATTCGCTGATCATCCCGATAATGTTTGATTTTAGAATTTTGTTGACATTATTCCTGTCCTCATTGTTTTAAATGTAATCTCATGGTTTTCATAATAGAATTGGAGCTTTTTACTAATGTTTGAGAAGGGATGATATGGAAAGTGATGATATTTTTTTCTTTTCTTATTCCCATCATAATGTGTGATATATAGAGTGTTATGTTACATTCAAAAAATCTTAAGGATGAACTATGCTAGAT